TTTTGTATTCTGAAATTTTACTGAGGTTGTTTATAAGTTCTAGGAGCCTTTTGGCAGAGTCCATGGGATTTTCTTGGTATATAATTATATCATCTGCAAGGAGAGATAGCTTGAATTCCTCTCTTTCTATTTGGATATCTTTTCTTTCTTTTCTTGCCTAATTGCTCTGGCTAGCACTTCCATTACTGTGTTGAATAGGAGTGGTGAGAGTGGGCATCCTTGTCTGTTGCACTTCTCAAGGAAAATGGTTCAATCTTTCACCTGTTCAGGATGATGTTTGGTTATAGATTTGTCATAGACTTTTTTTTATTATTTTGAAGTATGTTCCTTCAATGTCTAGTTTGTTGAGGGTTTTTAACACAAAAGAAAGTTGAATTTTATCAAAGCCTTCTCTGCATCTATTGAGGTCACGATATCGTTTTTGCTTTTAATTCTGTTTATGTGGAGAATCACATTTATCAATTTGTGTATGTTGAGCCAGCCTTGTACCCCAGAAATAAAGCCTATAAAAGTGGATTCTTTATGTTTTCCCTTTACTATATTGCTATCTAGTTGTGCCTATTTCACTAACAACATGGTGCGCTTTCATGGTCCCAACATTTCCACAGGAATGGGAGACATAAAATGGTGACTAAGGGTGGACTTCCTCACTCATTAGCAGACTTAACCTCTCTGTTCCTCAGATTTCTTCTATGCAAAATGAGGACAATAATAGTACCTTTCTTATAAGGTTATAGAGAAAACCAAAAAGGTTAGAAGAGTGCCTGGCACATGGTAAGCCTCAAATAATGTTTGTCATTACTATAATTTTTTCTCTTTCACACCAGCACACTTACCAAAGCGTTGAAAATACCTCTCACACCTTCAACCTTTGCATCCCCACAGCCACTTTCCTATTCAGGACTTTTTCCTCCATCTGCTTTCTGATCCCAGCCTTTACCTATTATATTTATTCATTTATGTGTTTATTCCCTGAATAGTCAATTAAAAATTACAATATACCAAGAACTTCTTGGGGCCTTGGGACAATACTAAAAAACAAATATCTCTGCTGTCATGGAATTAATAGTCTAGAGTGCTGGGGTCAGAAAGCCATGGCATATGGGTCAAATATGGCCCACCACCTATTTGTGTAACTAAAATTTATTGGCATACAGCCACATCCATTTGTGTGTTTTCTGTGGCTGCTTTCAACAATGACAGAGTTTAGTTACTGCAACAATATCTATATGGCCCACAGAGCAAAACTGTAATCTGCCTTGCGCTTTACAGAAAACGGTCATCAGCCCCTTGTTTAGTAGCAAAAAATATGCTAAGATCTCACTAAGATTAACATGACATCACCAGAGAGCTTATTATTTCACTATGTGGTCATCCTATACATAACAGATTAATATTCTTAAAATGTGCCTCATTATTCATGTCATTTTCTATATATCTATCACTTAAAAGTTGAACTGAAGCCAGGCACAGAAAGACAAACATTGCATATTCTCACTTATTTGTGGACTCTAAAAATCAAAATAGTTAAACTCACGGAGATAGAGAGTAGAAGGATGAGTACAAAAAGTAGTGAGAATGAATGCACAAGGACTAGTATTGGATAGCACAACAGGTGACTATAGTCAATAATAATTTAATTGTACATTTTAAAATAAGAGTATAATTGGATTGTTTGTAATACAAAGGATAAATGCTTGAGGGGATGGATACCCTGTTTTCCATGATGTGATTATCATACATTGCATGCCTACATCAAAACATTTCATGTACCCCACAAATATTTGTGGGTACCTACTATGTAGCCACAAAAAGTAAATAGATTTTTTTTTAATTGAACTGTTTCAGCCTATTATTCAAAGTCCTTTGACACCTCCTCTCAATTTGTACGGGCAAACATCACTTTGGCGGCCTTCTCTAAACCTTACCTTAGTTTTCCCTAAGTATTTCACTAAAATTACTTAAGTGTTCATCCCACAGGCTCCCATAATACCCATTTTAGCACTTTTTCCATTTTACTAAAATTGTCTCCTTGCTAATCTGATTTCTCCAAAAAACAGAAGCCCACAAGGTCAAAAATGGAGTCTCCTGTGTTGTAAAATCTCAGTACCAAGCACAGTACTATGCTCAGTCCTAAGATAAGCACACATATCTAGACTGTAAAAAATAATCATAAATATTCTTTAAATAAATACCTACCACTCTTTGTTTTGCTTTTACATTGCCCACTATGTGGACACCTCACCTCACACACATACTTCTAAAATCTACTCTTCCTCAGGGCAGAGTAGAATATGTGGTTAAGGGAAGAAATTAACTAACATCAAGGGTTAGAAAAATACCACCCAAAGTAGAGAATAACTAATAAAGGCTTGAAATTTGTTATTATCTATATTTCACAGGGTGCTAAAGAAACCAAGGGACAAAAAGAAAAATCGGACTTTGCACAAAATCATTTCCATTAGAATTATATAACTAATTATACATTAAACACATAGCTAATTGTTTCAGACCTAAAAATTTTGAGAGAAACTATGAGTCTCTGATTCATTTGTTATTTTTTCAAAAAAGATTTCAGCCTACATTATATTATTCTTAATGTGATTTATCTACTTTAATATCCAACCAAATATTTTATTCCCATAACACTATGTTATATACCTTAAATATATACAATAAAGTATAAGTGAGCTAAATAAAATAAATATTTCACCATTGTGAGTTCTGTCTATAAGGCAGTGAGAATAATTTTGTTTTTAAGCTTTTTTTCAAGTAGAAAATGAACCACTAGATGGTGCAATCGTCACTTTTAAAAGTAATGACAGAGCCTTGTGTTTATTTAAAAATTATTTAAAAAGAATTTTTACTATAGTTTTAAATTTTTTTTTTAATTCTTGTTAAAAAATTCTTTAACAAGAATTTTTACTATAGTTTAATTTCATTTCTGAAATCATTTGCTCATTCTATTTTTTGTATAAGAGGTCTTTATACATTTTATACTCTTTGTGATCTTCAAAATAATCTGCAAAATATGTAATTTTGTAGCAGATTAACTCTGTATTTTGTTTGTCTCCACTTTTGAAAACCCTATACAATTTTCCAAACTTTTTTTGCACAACTATTAACTTAGATGCAACAAGCATATAAAGTCCACGACATGAATAAAAGGTCTAGGAAGGTTTAATCAGTTGCTGTCTTTCTCCAGCTTAGCAGATTCTGACACTTACACCTCACACCCATTCTAGAATGTGCCTTTTAGACTGGCACTATTTTTTGGTGGTTTATTACTCTCTGGCTCTGACAGAAATTTTAAATTAACCCTTTCTCTCATGTACCCCTTAGTATAGTGTTGCCAAGAAGAGGAAAGAAAGGAGGGGGGCAGCGGGGAGAGGAAGGGAAGAAAGGGAGGAAGGGAGGGAAGAAAAGAAGGGCAGAATAAACACAGGGTGCTCAGATAAATTTGAATTTCAGACAAACAACAATTTATCAAATATGTATATATAACAACAAGATATATAACAATGATACCGCAAATACTATTTATTTAAAATTCAAATACTGTATGGGGCATGTATTAGTCCAGTCTCATGCTGCTAATGAAGACAAACTTGAAACTGGGTAATTCATAAAGGAAAGAGGTTTAATTGACTCACAGTTCAGCATGGCTGGGGAGGCCTCAGAAAACTTAACGATCGTCATGGAAGGAAGCAAACATTTCCTCCTTCACAGGAAGGAGAAAGAATGCCCAACGAAGAAGCAAGCCTCTTATAAAACAATCAGATCTCGTGAGAACTAACTCACTCTCATGAGAACAGGATGGGAAAAACCACCCCCATGATTCAATTTTCTTCACCTGGTGCCTCCCACAACACGTGGGGATTAATTCAAGATGAGACTTAAGTGGGGACACAGCCAAATCGTGTCAGGACATACTTCTACCAATATTCATTGTTTATCTTGTGTTTAAATTTAACTGGATGGTCTGTGTTTTATCTGACAACTCTACTTTTGATGGGTCTATCAGAAAGTTTTCTGCTGCATGCCACTCAATATGATTCTCTCAACCCAGACAAGGTCTGTCTTTCAGCTGAGTGTTCTCCATTACCCCTCAGCCTCTGCTCCAGCAAGAAACCTCTTACTGCCAAAGTATTTTTAGCCAGCAGGACCCCTCTTGGTCAAGATCGATTTTTTTTTTTTTTTTTTTTTTTTTTTTTTTTTTTTTTTTTTTTTTTTTTTTTTTTTGAGATGGAGTTTCGCTCTTGTTCCGCAGGCTGGAGTGCAATGGAGTGCGATCTCGGCTCACCGCAACCTCCGCCTTCTGGGTCCAGGCAATTCTCCTGCCTCAGCCTGCTGAGTAGCTGGGATTACAGGCACGCACCACCATGCCCAGCTAATTTTTTGTATTTTTAGTAGAGACGGGGTTTCACCATGTTGACCAGGATGGTCTTGAAGATCGATTTTTATATGTCCTCAAGCTGATGTTCCTGACTATGAATCCCTTTCCTGGGATTCACTCACATTTGACTTGTGTCTGGCAGGTTTGCAGCTCCTTCTGCAACCACAGGAGCTGAGCCTGTGAGTTTGCCAATGCCAGAGAACACATAGCAAGCTGTCCAAGTGGTCCTGCTAAATCTCTTTTCACCAGGCTTGAGGTTAGGAGACAGCAACACCACGCACAGCTTTTTCTCTGGGTGCTGGTGTAGAAGTTGGAAGAGAGACTTACAATGCAATTTTGTCCAAAGAAATGATTCTCAGAAAATTCTCTTTCAATTTTTCCACTCTGAATCTTTTAAAGTCTTTGATGTGGATTTCAGTAATCCTACAACCAGTTATTAACTCATTACTTTGACAATGTAGATCTTAGTAGTCCAAATCACAATTAATTTTGATCTCTTGGAACTTCAGTTAAAATTGGTATGTTAGCATCAGGGCAATACATAAGTGTGTATCCATCTCTGCACAAGTGCTCAAACCATGTGGCTTTCTCTCTCAACCCACAGCTGCAACTGTACCACTGGGTGGAAAGGAGCATTCTGCACAGAGACAGTTTCCACCTGTGATCCTGAACATGACCCTCCACACAACTGCAGCAGAGGAGCAACCTGCATTTCATTACCTCATGGATACACCTGTTACTGTCCTCTAGGAACCACTGGAATCTACTGTGAACGAGGTGAGGCAGAATTTCAAATCATTTTGCTGTCCACAAATTTAACTAAAATTAGGAACTTCAAAGTCAGTTTTCTTTTTGGAAAGTAAAAAAGTACATATAATAAAATTTGAATCCACTCTCTTCTTTTTCTAGTATACTTGACATTACACAGACAAGTATTTAAAATTTAGTACAAAAAACACAGCTTTATTTTTAGTATTGCTTTAATTTATTAACTCTAAACTCCGTGTCTGCTTTGTCTAGATGTTCTAGATGTTTTGCGCCAAATGCAGTTAAGTCAAGTGAGCTTAAGTTCATAACTCAGTTCCAGATCCATACTTCATCTCTGTGAGCCTCTCCCTTCTGTACCTGTCATCTCACTCAAAACTCTCAGGAATATCACAAGACCATCGTCTCCAGAGGGAAATTTGAGAGAAGAAATGGCCCCAAGTCTAGTAAGCAACAATGTCCTAACCACTGGGGCAACTTATAGTAGCACCTCCGAGAGAGCACAGCAATCTGTGGGCGCTCCCAAGCTGGGCTGTGGCTAAGGGCTAAGGGCACTTCTAGGTCTGAGCCATCTTCTTTTAATCCCTGGCTGGGATCCAGAACAGCATTAGGGAATCCAGGAAACTCCTAGTTAAGGAAGATGGAGAGATTAAGCCAGGAAAATAAAGGGACATAAGGAACTACCTGCCATATCCTAGCTTCCTGAGACTGGACTATCTGCTCTTTCTCTATCCTGCCTCACTCAGCACCCAGAAGATGAAGCTTTAGCTCTCTCTTCCCTATTTTTGAAACAGAGACTGGGATAGAAAGAGTACAGGAGCCAATCACCAATTGTGCTATATCCACCTTTGCATTATTTGGATGTTTTATTGTAATATATTTATATGTGTGATAAAAAAATTAATACTTCTAGATTACTTTATCAAACATATTAATACAAACATTTTATTCCTATATTCCCTGAAATTCTACTTGTGTTTAATTCTCCAAAAGTTAAAATTGTTAATAAATGGAAGACATTTGGAGATTAGAATAATAGTAGTTTACTGGAAAAAATGTTTAATCATGTCGAAGAGTGTGATTATGAAATAATAAGATGACATTTTGTATCTGACTTACATAAATCAGTCTCTCATAATAACATTAGGGATCAATCTTGATCTTTAAGAAATGGAATTTCTTAATTCCTAGACTATGTCACACTCTTTCCTGGAGTAGAGATGTTGTGTTGCTTCCCTCTGCCTAAAATGCTTTCATCTTCCCCTCCACACCAAATGCTAACACTTCATCTTGCTAATTTAGGGAAGCCTTTCCTGATTGTCTTTCATAGACAATCAGCAACCATGCCTGTTGAGTGTCTAGCACCCATAATATAGTGCTGAGCAGAAAAAAAAAAATGGTTAAACATTTAAACTTAACAGCAATAATAAAAACTGATTGCGATGGTTTTCAAAGAATAGCTCCTTAGTGAAAGGCAAAGTACTCAAAAATTAACCAAGATGAGTACCCTTATAACTCCCAAAGGGATAGCTTTTAGAAATTGAAAGAAATAATAGGACAAGTAACATAGGGGCTAGTGAATTTAACAATAGGGCAGGCGACAGCTTTGATGCTTAAAGGCTCAAGCAATGAAAGTTTGGAAAATAGATTAGTCCAAAATTTGTGTGGGTGTGTGGATGTATATAAATAGATTATATAGACAGAGGACAGATGAAGATAGATGAATGGATGTATGGATAGATGATACATACATACATACATACATTCACACATATATATGTATACATATTGGAATAGTCAGAATAATGAGATTATTTTTACAGGTAGCCTAGAAGGTTTGATTAAAGGTGTCATAAAATGGGCGACATCCACACAGAATTGTAACACAAAGTTAACCAAAGATATACCTTGATATTCTATAAAATAACAATTTTGTTAGAATATTTTAGAATCCAGGGTACTTATTAAAATATTATACCAAAAATTGTGGTTCACACATTTTGCAAGATGGACAAATGTTCAGTTACTTTTCTTATACACTCCAGTCTTGCTTATTTGCTCATTTCTTTTATGCTATAGCTGTCTTTCCTGTTGTAACTTATGACTTACAACTATACATGTAACCTCTCCTAAATCAAAAAAATCTCCTCTCGGTTTATTTTTTCCTCATATTATTGGTAAACTGCTTTTTTCATGGACTAGTTTTAATGCTACTAAATTCTAGCTTTTGTGCATCAATGACATATAGCCAAGTTAGATTCCATAATGTGTTTTTGACTTTTAACCCAGCAAATATTGAAAATGTTTCCTTTTTGTTTTCACATTTTTTCCCTTCGTAGTATAATTTTCTTTTCACTCATTTTTCATTCCATAAAGAAAACCATACACATGGGCACTTTGAATGAAACAGGCAAATGTTCAAACTACTTAAACATTTTTCTCATGCCAACAATTCTTTATGGTCCAACAAGTCCCCGATTTCCATTGAAACTGATTCTTGCTAATAGAGAAGTTCAATTTTCAACCTCTTATAACACATGGGATGGTTTCCGGTCAAGTCCTTGATTTTCCTAATAGTAGAGAAATTGGTCCAACACACAGTAGATGGCAGTTTTGGGAATTATTACTGTATTTTCCTGTTTTCAAATACTCATTTTCAGGTGTATTTGGCCATGCAGAACACAGTAAGCAATGCACGTGCTTTCTTCATAGGAAAAAAATAAGCTTTAGTCTTTATCTCACTACTTTCAATCCCATCATGATAATTAATAGAGATGTAGTTACATCTGTATTAGATTTCCTATCTCTGTAAACTTATAATAATCATAAAAAGTAAAAGATAAGTAGGCACTAGCTATGATTCCTAGGAACACACATTTTACTTGTTTAGTCTTCTGTGCTCTTCAATAAAACCTGCTATATTATAAGTAAAACTCAGAAAGAAAGTGAAGTATATATAATAATTCTGAAGTTTATATGAATATCAAGCTTTTTGAGCATTTAAAGGCATAGCTACAGCAGCTAAGCCTTAGTAGAAAGAAACAGACACAACTTCCATTTCTAACCTTGAGCATTGCACAAGTAACTTAACTCCCCTGAACGTCAGGCTACTCACGTGTGAAAAGGAGATATTTAAGAATCTCTGTTCTCAGGGAAGTTTTGGCCAAAGTCTGGGGAGATTTCATTCTACTTGTCAAGTCCTAAATTATTACTAGTTTTCATAAAGCAATGAGTGAAAAGTTAAAAACTTTAAGAGACGTATCTACAAGGTTATTTTCTCAATCAAGTCCTTTTTTTCATTTCCATTCAAGTTAAGTAGAAAATACATACATTGAATTTTTAGCTCCCGATTTTGAAGTTTTCTCCTTCAAAATGTTTTACATACTGAGTCATAAATACCCTGCCTCCAATTATAGGAAAGCAGACAAAAATAGTGTTGGTTTACAAATAATCTGTACAAATAGGACTTGTTTGCTACTTCCCCTCAGGTGGGTCTGCCCACCATCTTTTAAACTGAGATGATTGACAATGATTAGATCCAACCACAAACTTGACTTTCTAATTTGGGGCACTAAGAGGAAGACTCCTTTAGTTTATAATCAAAATATTACTGGTGACAAGCAAGTCGAAATTCTCATGACCACAGTGGAAGATACAATGATCAGAAAACAGCTCATTATTTCATTTCCTCCACTTGATAAAATCTGTAAAGTTTACATTAACAAAAATAAAAAAGCAAGCCTTCTAGGTCCATGTTCTTATAGTAGCCAAGGAATATCACAAGGCAAATGGTGAAGAAAGCCCTATAGTCTGAGAGGTAGAATTGTCAAAGACCCTCCTAGCACACCTCCAAAAAGAGTATGAGAAGGAATCAATGAAATAAAGAGGCCTCCACAGTGCTTAGCATATAGCTAGAACTCTATTAGTATTAGTCATCTCCTACAGAGAAAGAAAAAAGTGTTAGATTACACTTGAGTAAAATGCAGGCTGTGTTCATATAGATATTTTGATTATTTTCATTTTAATAATATAGATTCATTTTAATAGATTCTTAAATTGAAATATTTTAAACCTCCCACTTTAAAAAGATGTTTTCTATATAAAAGATGTAAAGATTTTCAAACTATTATGATAAATGTAGTAGACATTAACTTTCTAAAATGACCAAATAAAATGTTTAAAACAACAACAATACTCAGCCAGGTGCAGTAGCTCATGCCTGTGATCCTAGCACTTTGGGAGGCGGAGGCAGGAGGATTGCTTGAACCTAGGAGTTCTAGACCAGCCTGGAACTGGAAAGAGCAAGATCCTCATCTCCATAAAAAAAAAAATAGAATAATTAGCCAGGTATGGGGTGCATGCCTGTAGTCCTAGCTACTCAGGAGGCTGATGCAGGAGTATCACTTAGGTCCACAATTCAAGGTCACAGTGAGCTGTGATCAGGCCACTGTACTCCAGCCTTCATGACAGAATGAGACCCTGTCTCCAAGTAAAAAGCAAACAACAAAAAAAAATTCATTCTCAATAGAGTAATAGCAAATCATTAAATTTTACATAATATTTGTGGAGAACCCACTCAGGCAATATGAAGAGATCCAAAGCAGTATAAAATAGTGTCCCTCCATTCAAAGAGCTAACTATTTAGGTTAAGACCAGGAAAAAGTTTGTAAAAATTAAATACAAGTATATAATTTAAATAAAAGTTCAGGGGAAAAGAGTAAGAAATATCCCAGGGTATTTAATGCTTTAATTGCCAGATCGATGATGCAATAAATGCATTACTTCTGGCTAGTTGGACCTAAACAGGCATTAGAAGGTGATATAATTAAATTAGGTTTCAAAGGATGGGTAAGACTTGAGTAGACTCATGGGAGAGGGAGATAGCTTTCCTAAGGTGAAAACCACTTCAGAAAATCATGCCAAGGAATAGAAGGATGGACTTGCATACATATGTAAACCCCTTCATCTCAAAAGAACATTTCTGGCAGGTAAGGTCTGAATTATTAAAATAC